TTAGTAGAAGATTATTGGTTATGGTTGACGAATAGAATGAATATACGGCAAATGCATTTATGATTTTTAATGATATATACATATTATGTTGATTGTGACATTTTGATGTGTATTTCTTTTAGGAAAACTGTACCTTATAAAATTGTAAAAGCATCAAATGGTGATGCATGGTTAGAAGCTAATGGTAAAGTATATTCTCCGTCACAAATTGGTGCTTTTGTTCTTATGAAGATGAAAGAAACTGCAGGTAAAATAAACCTACTTGGGCCTCTTTTGAAAGCCATATATTAGGTAACAGAAATCAACTTAAGGCCATTTTTTACATTTATCAGTTGTGTTTCTTGATACTTAACACACACTGGGTTGGAACACTGTCATTTTGTGGCAGTCGGTAGTGAGTTGGATTGTCGCCTGCTATTAGGCAATTAGGTTAGAATCCTCAAGGTAAGAAAGATTCTGATGCTTGTGACTGTGCTTCCAAGAGTCAGTCTGATTTCAGCTTTTATCCCTTAATACCTAACAAGTAAAAATCTGAAATAATAGCTTTATAACCAGACGTAATATTCAAATATTTTTTGTATTACAGAAAGTTATCTAGGAAGTAATGTTAAAAATGCAGTTGTTACAGTACCAGCTTATTTTAACGATTCACAAAGACAGGTAAACTAAGATTTCTTTTCACTTGCTCTACTATGTTTTATTTTGCCATTTCCGTTAGGGTCTAACGATAGCCCTCTTGAACATGCATCAAATTAACCTTTTGACCTAGCTCGATGCACGTTTTGATCAGTTTGTGATGCAATTCATTTGTACTGGTATACATCTGTACTGGTTATTCATTGGTACTGGTTATTCATTGGTACTGACAATTCAGTTGTACTGGTAATACATTTGTACTGGTGATACATTTGAACTGGTAATACATTTGTATTTGTACTGGTAATACATTTGTACTGGTAATACATTTGAACTGGTAATACATTTGAACTGGTAATACATTTGTATTTGTACTGGTAATACATTTGTATTTGTACTGGTGATTCATTTTGTACTGGTGATTCATTTGTACTGGTAATTTATTTGTACTGGTAATTCATTTGTACTGGTAATTCATTTTGTACTGGTGATTCATTTGTACTGGTGATTCATTTGTACTGGTGATTCATTTGTACTGGTAATTCATTTGTACTGTTAATACATTTGTACTGGTAATACATTTGTACTGGTAATACATTTGTAATTCATTTTGTACTGGTGATTCATTTGTACTGGTAATTCATTTGTACTGGTAATTCATTTGTACTGGTAATACATTGTACTGGTGATTCATTTGTACTGGTGATATGGTGATTCATTTGTACTGGTGATTCATTTGTACTGGTAATACATTTGTACTGGTAACACATTTGTACTGTAAATACATTTCTACTGGTAATAATTTGTACTGGAAATACATTGTACTGGGATTCATTGTA